TTCATTCGGGTAATATCCTTCGATTTCAGTAAAGCGTTTGATAGCGTCCCCCACGATATTTTAACACAGAAATTGAAATCAACAAATCTTAATCCATATATTATCAATTGGCTCATTAATTTTATATCGTGTAGGAAACAGAGAGTTACTGTAGATGGAACTGTTACCAATTTTGTTAATATCAACAGAGGAGTACCTCAAGGTACAGTTCTTGGCCCCTTCTTATTTTCGTTAATGGTCAACGACATTGAAGCCAAACATCCACAAACGAACAGTTTGGTCAAGTTTGCAGATGATTTAACAGTGAGTGTTCCTGTCACATCGTCTGGTGACTCGGCTTTGGACGAGGTAACTAACATTGAGAGTTGGGCAAGCAACAATAGAATGAAACTCAACTTTAAAAAAACCTGGGAAATGTTACTATGTACTCGTTCACCTGCCATACCTCCCCCCCTTATTAATGGAATACGACGTAAAAAATGGTTAAAACTACTTGGTGTCACCTTTCAAGAAAACCCACGTTGTTAGGACAAGCAGGTAGATAGCTTGTTGTCAAAAGCAGCAAGTCGAATTTATACATCCTGAGAGTTTGTAAATTCTACGGATATTCACTAAATGAACTTACTAAATTGTTCGATTCATTGATCCTGTCGTTATTTTACTATGCAATTGAAGTATGGGGATCGGCTTTGCAAGCGAAATACATTGATAAATTCAACAAGTTTCTCAATCGTGCATTCCGATATGGATACACTCAGAATAAATATTCAATGGCCAAGATGATTGAGGAGAGGGATCGATTATTGTTCAATAAGGTCATGCACAATCCTGAACATTGCCTATATGAGTTGTTACCGGAAGAACGTCGACGACCTTTAAGAGAACGCGATCATCAATTTATGTTACCAAAAGTTTACACAGAACGTTTTAAACAATCATTTTTGAACAAGTGTCTTTTTAATGACTTTTAGTTTTAAAATTTTGTTATATACGATATATAATATTAACTATAATGCATGTAAATAATTTAATTTAGAAATAATACTAAATTTGTAAATAATCTAATTAACATTTCTCATAGGCACTGAACGTTTTAATAATTACTATATATATATATTTATATATATCTTATATGCACTGTAAAGATGCACGTTTGTTGCGACTTCAATTTTTAATAAAGACGTATAATAATAATAATAACATGCAGTGAGTACTACAGCCAGGTGTACCTTGAAGGTTTTAGTTTGAAAAATCAAGTCACCTTTTAAAGAGCCGTATTGAATATTTTACACAGAATATAATATAATATATATATATATATATATATATATATATATATATATATATATATATATATATATATATATATATATATATATATATATATATATAAATTCTGTCAGTTAGTCCATTGGGGCAATGATTATTTTTAAAATAAATTCTAGCCCTCATAAAGGCACAAGTATGTGATAAACAGGTTATCATAATCGGGGTGAGGTGATATCAGTTTTATCGCTTGAGCACAGGGGGTCCAACTAAGAGCTGTGTTATGAATATGAATAAAACATTAATTAAACGTAATATGAATAAAACATCATAACGTAATATATTTAAATTATTGCACTTACTTGTATAAATCATAAGAGCTTGCATTTGCAGTGAATAGCTTCAAACAGGGCGCTTATATACGCTCAGAAACATTGCTTCGAACGATTGTTCAAATATGGCGAATAAATTGACAAAACGAAAATATTACATGACGTTCCAACGAAAATAACAGCAAGGATTGCGGGCGCGAGCGGAAGGCGAGGGTAATAGATATTAATAGAAGGGATGAAACACCGGTAATGCGATCGTGTGATGTGTTCCATCAGTAGCCTGTTCTCTCGGAAAATTCCAAAACGCCTCCTGCCAACTCCAACAACGCCTACGCGCTTAATTAATGAAAATAAACAATGTTTAGCTATACCGGCTAATATGAAATGTTTAAATGTAGCGACCAACGTTTTTTTTAACATTATTTAGTTTTATTATTATTTAGTCATACGTCACGAGAACAGGCTACTTATGGAACACATCTCGCGAAAATGGCCAAGAATGCTCGCTGTTATAAATCACATAAATTAGATTGATCAGTGCTTTTTTGGTAATGACTAGGCTTGTTCATGTAAGAGAACATCGACTGAGCCTTAAAAAACCCACAAAAAGCTTAAACAGATAGTCTAGAAGCATTTTAAAAAGTCACGTGATATTTGTTTCATCCCTTTTATTTATTTCTTCCCTCGCCTTTTCGCTCGCGCGCCCGCAATCCTTTCTGTTATTTTCGTTGGAACGTCATGTAATATTTTCGTTTTGTCAATTTATTCACCATATTTGAACAATCGTTCTAATCAATGTTTCTGAGCATATATAAGCGCCCTGTTTGAAGCTATTCGTTGTAAATGCAAGCTCTTATGATTTATACAAGTAAGTGCAATAATTTAAATTTATTACGTTATGATGTTTTATTCATATTACGTTTAATTAATATGTTTTATTCATATTCATAACACAGCTCTTAGTTGGACCCCCTGTGGTGCAATCAAAGGAAATTCACATAGCCAGTCAATTTTAAGAAAATTGTGATCTTGTAAATTAAGCAAAATAAACAAATCAGAGTATTGCCATCTTGGCTAATTTTTTGCAAAATATAAAATATAGCTTAAAAAATAATTTTTCACAAATAATTATGCCGGCATACTGTATTAGGAACAAAATCTTTGTGAAACATGGCGAAAATACTAACAAAAAGCAACTTTATAAAGAGACAGGCAAAACAACTAGCTAAACAAGATAATTCGTGTAATAGTATATAGGCCTACATCATATAATTTGTTGATGTTTGAATAAACAAACCGCACCATGCAAAATCCTATCAAATTGTGTAGTATATGTTTAAACTTACATTGGTTGTCTTTTAGTCTTCACAGTATCCATAAATTTCTTCATATTTTTGGTAAAACGTTTCGAGAGTTTAAAGAAAGTTCAACTTGTTCGCTCGTTGCCGTATACGCTGACGGCATTTACTAGGGGAATATCAGGGGATGCATGATATGTCTTTCGTAAAGAAAGAACTACTGTTTCCGTTTTACAAAATTGTTTAAAATTAAGATTACAAAATAATATAATAAAGTCGATTAAATTGCACTTCGTGTCGTGCAATTTTGGTTTGAAATCAAAGTGTGATTACAAATCTGAAATCACAGTGTGCATTACAAACTATTGCATTGCATGCACGTGTTTGATTTCAGACCGAATTGCACTCCACTCAGTGCAATTACCATTATTAATATTTATGTGAATGACTTATACCATGGATTGTAAAATAACTGGATAGGAAACTTCCTTACGTCACAGTCTAATATAAACCTAGTTGCAATCTGTGACGTCACGCGTATTGCCAAAGTTCTCAGCAGTTTTGTTGTTTCGCTATATTTTCCGCTTTAAAAGAGTAATATTAATTGAAGCATAAACTGGTCTAATTGTTTTAAAAACATACCTAAGCCACGACAAAGTATTCAAGGTAAATGTTTTCGTCTTTGTTTTGTATATTTTTTTACATTTGTAGCTACGAAATTGGCGTCGCCAATTATAACGAAATTTGCGATGCATTTTTCACTGCTTAGTGCTTGAAATATTTGCTAAAATTGACTGGGAATACTTAGAGATTTCATCGTAGAATGGCGTAGTTATATTTATTTGCTCTTTGACTAAAATTTTTAGCTGTATTATTGCTAAACATGCCGTTTTTGAGAATTTGGTTTGCAACTAGGTTTCAACATCCAACCACGCCATCAGCCCATTGAAAACATTAGGTCACGTCAGCTAGTTTCCTATTCATTTATTTTATTATCCGGGGCATGCTTATACCAACAGTTATATATATTTAAAATACTCTGAATGTTTTTCTGCACCACTGTTTGGTCAATTATAGCCTACCTCTGTTGGCAATATATCCATGCAGATTACAACACGCGCAAATTTGCCACTCGCATTCTTAGTAGCGCATCTAAGCATCTCGAAACTGCCTCGCTTTGTAATTTGTATATAATTTCTCTTTAGATGATTCCATCTACTAATAGTTATAGATTATTATTTTATTTAAGACCAGTTGACCACTGAAAAACGCCTTCTGCTGAGGGTTTATTAATTAAATCGTTATTCATTCATAAATCTCGCGTATTATAGCTATATTGGGTCCTACTATAACCGCACAACAGGTATGATAATCATTCATTCAGAGTGAGACGACTAGCTATAGGATGTCTTGTAGTAAATGTTGGCGGCAAAAACGTAGTATTGTGAATGTCGATTATATTAAATTAATGGCATGAACATAATTTTCTATTGTCTGCAGAGGACGATGGAATCAACTATCGTAATTATCTTCAAATATCGTAATACACTTTTTCATTAAAAGCCGTCTGGCTTCTAGAAAATTAATCTGTTGATTTTATACGCGTTTAAATTCGCTCTAAATGTATTCCATTTAGTTCATTCACTGTTATAATTATTCGTCATATTTAATTGTCTTTTAGTACATGACGTTGCTTAGAATATTACTTTGAGTTGGTTTATTATTTGCCAGAAATGAAATGAAATGATATGATGCGTTACCTCCCCTTTCAATTTAATTAAATTAGGTCATTTTAATTATATAATAATAATAATAATAATAATAATAATATTGTATACCAGCTTACATTTATTTCATACCGTTGTATAATTAGTCAGTTTCGCAGCGCCTTCCAATCTTTAGGTTTCCTATCTCGTATGGCTGTAATCACATAAAAGTCGACTATAACCTGCTATAGCGTATAGGAATGTTTGTTATTTTAATTGCCCAATCAAATTAATTGGCATGTTCTGGTGAAGAATCATCATTGGGTCACGAAAATACATCTGACCAGAATTAACAGATACTTGGAAAAAGGTTTTCCTAGAAGTCTATATTATTCTACTATTATTCCTCAGGTGTAGCTGTGAAAGTGATGATTAATGTGACTCTGAAAGAACAGTATATAATTATAATATTCTTGGCGTTGTTTATCTTCACTTGAGCAGGTGTACGGTATAGCTTACATTGGATATATGCTTGTGTTGCTTACAAAGCGGTCAGTCAAAAGTATTCGACCGTCGATTATAGTCTCACAATTACGCATGCATGCATATTCGCTTTTCTTTTCACGCATTTCAGCACAGGAAATGAAGCCTTGGTCGATTTTGAATCGCGCGTATATTTAAGAGGATGTTTCTTGTATAGACTATTACGCAAAATAGTGTAAACTAACGAGTATAATATATAACTGGTCATGAATACATCAAAACATTTTCATTTTTGATAGGTTCTTCAATCGGCAAACCAAATTAAAAGTATAGGCTATGTTTATTTTACTCTTATAATAATGCTATTAGAAAAGAGATTTAGTACGCCAAAGAGAACTGAACTGTTTGACGTTCAGTACGTAAGTTTTGCTTGTTACTAATGCTGTTTATTATATAGTGTCCATTTAAAAAATAATAATTGATAATCGTATTTTAAATAGTACATAATTCACTTCCTGACTAACTTTTACTGTGTTTCAGTTAACATTAATTATGCCAATTACAGGGGATGAAAATTAATTTTAGTTTAATCTAATCCTTTATAATTATTCTGATTGAAAATATATATTAAACAATAACGTATACGTGCATGAAAACTATAAGTCGCGGTGGAATGTACAGTTTTCGCTCGATAACACTCATTCCACATTAAGCCACACTCCACTGGATGACTTGCCATGTGCATTTCGCGCGATGCATTTGTAAGTTCCTATCTGGCTTTTCTTCACATCCTTTATGGTAATCTTCATAAGAACATCTTTGTTACGACCAGTACTTGTCAGAGTGTTTGTATTCTTGATCATAATCCTTCCTTGTGGATTTCTCCAATAAAATGCTTGAGCCTGTGCACTGCAATCCTTCTCTAACTGCACGATGCATGTCAGAGTAGCATTTGTTCCCTTTTTTACTGTCACATTTGTTTGAAGGCTGTATACAGTCGGTCTTTGATAACATGGGGGCACTACAAAATAGTAAAATAATTATTTAGCACAACGGTAAATGAACAGTTGCTTGCATTGCCAGATAATTGTTGACAGGGTGGGTTAGGTAAAAGGGCCCACAGTATAATTGGCATTTTATAGAAGCCAATAGAAGTTTTTAAATTGCAAACGTTTGTTATTGCGTGATTAATAGATCAGTTATTGTACATTAACGCATATTTCCTCTTGATTAACAGCGGTAAAAACATTTAACAGTACAGCTAATCATCAATTGCCATTCACTAGTGGACGGGAATTTCGATTACACAGCCAAAGCAGGCAGACGGTCTTCCGCTTCCTTCGCCTCGGCCTCGCCAGTCTTTTATAGGTGTTCCGCGGCGGGACGACTGCCTGCCATGCAGACTACTCACTACTCCACCCGCCACCTCCCTTATTAATGAAAAAATCCTTACGACGTATAGAAACTGTTATGCTCCATGATTGTCGGCCATGCTGGTTTGAGCCTTCACAACGGTATGCGCCATTATCGAGCTTACTGCCATTTACAATGGAAAAAACTTGATTATTTTCGTCAAACTGATATTTTGCTCCTATCTTGAGAGGAATGTCATCCTTGTACCATTTTACTTGAACTGGTTGTTTACTTGTAAAGCAACAATACAACATTACTCTATCATTAACAGTGAAGATTTCATCCTGGCCTGATGCGTCCTCGAGGGTAGGCGTTAGGGATGCTGCAATAGTAAATATATTATGTTATATTCGTTCTACACAATTTTAATTCATGCATGTTTGAGTCGGTTTTCTTTGATGTACCGAGGTGATTATGTTTAATAATCACCTTGAATATTAATTATCTGAAAAATGAAGAAAAACGCATACAATCGTCGTTCAAAGCGGACGAAACAGACAAAACTTTGTTGGAAAAACTCCTCAATTAACCGTGAATTAGATATGATAACACCTCGAAAGTTGGTGGCCACATACATTCCTCCTTCTCGGTTTTATCCTATACAAAGCTCCCGCTATAAGCGTACGGGAGGAAAAAATTAGGGGGAGGACAAAAATTTACCCAATATTCATTACATGCATGGCTTTATTAACAGATGAACAGAAGGTAAACATAAGGAAAACATCTGGCAGGCTTTCTTGCCGTCCTACTTTTCGTACTTTTTCCTACTTTTCTTCAACTTTCCTACTTTTCCTATTTTTTATTAAAAATTGCTTGATTTTCCTACTTTTTCTCATAAAATACTACTTTTTTCAGACAGCTTGGGGAATCAGTATGTTATAGCTCTCGCAATTAGATCTATAGGACTCGTAATTTTTCCCTATTTGTGTCCCAGTCTCCCAGATGATAGGATCTCAACAAGAGAGGAAGTACATTTTCCGAGCATAAAATTCCATAGCATTTCTAGAATCATAATCAATGAATTAATGAAGACTCTGAAAATGCTATTTCCGACAATCACTAGATTCCAAATATTCATTCCCCCCCCAGTTAATCAAGCATCATGGGCTCCTGCATCACAGTGCGGATTAAGGTGTATGGCGCAGCCAAATACATGCACTCGCACGCAATTTGCATGATGCCTTAGCTTTTATACCGATGCCAACATTCATTGTCTATATTAATATCTAAATTTAAAAATTTTGAGAAAAAAATCCTGCTAGATGAATGGGTACAAAAAATTATTGAGCACCAAAAATGCACACAACTTCCCGGCCCCATCAGATAACTAATGGTATCACATATATCCACATATGGTACCACATATATCCTAGGGTGCCAATTTTGTATATTTTTGTGTTATTTGGATCTCCAAAAACTCCTACTTTTGTCCTACTTTTCTACACATTTTCCTACTTTATTCCTACTTTTACTAAAATTCTAGTCCTACTCTTATCCTACTTATCTACACAAGGATGTCAGAAAGTCTGCTCATATAATTATCACAGAAAACAAAATCAACCTTAAACTATTATTTCTATGTGTATTTACGAAAATATTTGGGATTTTTGTTCTTTAGTTAAGGTACATGGCAGTAAAATAAAATTGCTCAATAAAAAGTGCGATATTAGATGATGGTCTCGTGGAAACGACATGTAAGTGCTCTAGTAGTTTCGTTACAGTTTAACACTTGTCTTGTATAGGACCTGCAGTCTTTCAATTATGTACTCTAGAATCGCCGTATGCGAAGCTATATAAGTGAAAACGATAAAACGACTTAGCCACAGAAATTATCATAAAAGTAAGTTAAATAAAACGCTTATTTACAAAAATGTTGGTTTCAGACTTTCAGTTACCTGTTGAGACACCATTATTGTCAATACACCACAGCTCCTTTTCTCCAAGAACACACGGCGAATAAAGAAAAATGATAAAAATCCAAATTATCATTCTTCTGGTCAATGTTGCTTCAACGCTGTTAAAGTTCAACTATTATTCTTGGCAGCAAGCTGATGCTATACTCACACGTACCTACTCAATTCTGCTGTTGATGTTCATGAACAGACTGGGATATATATAGCAAAAAAGCATTACGAAATAGCTACATGTCATTTATAAAATTAGAGTAGTTAAAATGAAGGGAAGTCATGGGATTTCGCCCACGATGGGAGGATCCGGAAGATATGAAATATATTCGACTCAGCGTTTTCGCTTTTGATGATATTTCTTAGAATGAACTATGGTATGTTTTTGTGGTTTCCTAATTTATTGACTAAAGTATTATAGGTCTTTAGGTTTTTCAATTCTGAATAAATCCGCCATAAAATTGCGGCAATAAATAATTATGTCAAAAAATCAAATCTGAATAGTTATAAGCAAATACCATGTTTGCTACATTTTAGTAATGGTGGGCAGATTCTGAGAAGAGTGCTGTAATCACGAAGGCCTTTGAGGAAGAGAAGATAATATAGGATCTTTGCACTTTGAACTGTTGCTTAAAACTCACCCTTCCGCGGAAAGCATACTTTGCTTAACAGACTATATCGGCTTTTGGGCCCTTTGTCTTGTCACCGATGCCTTAATTATAAAGGTCTTTTATACTATCTAATATAACTGTATGATTTTGAAAATGTGTAACACTGTGAAAACACTAGCTGTCAGATTTGGTTAACTGAAACAAAAAAAATAAATTAGTTATCGCTCAGTAGCTAAGGCTGAGTACTTTTCCGAAGGGAGTATTATTTACGAATAAGATAGGCAAAGATAGTTCTGGGCGTAAGCCCGGGGCGAGGGTACTAATTCCGCCCAGCTATTTACACCCAGGAAAGGAAACCATTTGCGAAGTCTAAAGTGGTGTCAAGGTTCGTGGTGTATGCCGGTGATTGGGTGGACCTCGTCACTGATCTCAAAAATATGGCTGCTTGCCAGGAGTGGGATAAGCAAGATTTCAATTTTCAAAGACATATTTTTGGAAAATCGTTTCATATATGACGAACTTTATATATTGAAGAAATGAGAAGAATTGATTTACTATGGGAAATTAATCGTGAAATATAGCACAAGTTTGCTTTGACTGTTTAATGTTTAATGTTTTAATGTTTATGAATTTTGTTGCTTTAACTTTTGCCTAAAACATGACTGACTGCTTTCCCTTCCAACGAAGCTGTAAGATTCTTAAACTATATACCCTGTTCCGATTTAATGAAAACAACTTAAAATGTAAAGGAGACTAAATTAATTTGAAGACGGAACTAAAATTACCCAACAACTTATTAAGGCAGATTATATCTTTCATAGTATAAAAGCAGTTTATCGGCACAGGTAGTTTAGTTGAATGAACATTTCAAAACATTTTACGTACTGTATACGAAGCTAGGCCGTTTACCGTGACCTAAAAATATGCCTAGAAAACGATTTTCATTAAGCATGTCATGGAACTAGTGAAACATTTTCACGGTAATTAACATTTTCGAACACGCTGAATTCAAATCCGAAAGTTGCCGCTCCGTATTTTCATACCAATTAAACAATTTATAAAGTTGATTGACTACAAACTAGTCATAAACAACATACTGGCTATTATGTTGTAATTCTTTAATTGAAAACATCAAAGGGAGTGGCATGAAGAATTTTACTTCCAGGTGTAGTTTAGGAAGTCTGGGAAGTCGCGTTTTTCCTGGAACATGTATACTTATGATTGTTTTGAAAAGGAACAATGACAAAAATCATTTCATCTCGTTACCCAGTCAAAAACACGCCTGTGCATGTTCTTCTGCGGAGTTTAGTGTCAGTTATATCATGTGCATTTTCATATCAAACAGTTTATAAAGTTGATTGACTACAAACTCATAAACAACATACTGGCTATTATGTTGTAATTCTTCAATTAATCAAACACAGAAATATTTGGTCAATATCACCTAAAACTTAACTATATATAAACAGGATATAAAATGGCTGCAGATTAGAGTGGGCATTTGGACGGTTAACATCAACCCTCACGACACCCCACATATACATAAATATATTACTATAACATACAGTCCCACGTAAAATTTTGTTATAGATTTTTCATATTACACTTAACATGGTCAGAAATAGGCGACACACGATTCCGTAACAATCCTTCTGACATTCAAATTACATAGGAACTTACGGTAAACAAGACGCTCTATTGGCCGTTTAGTCGCTGGGGCTATTAAAATATAGAGGCTTAATTGTTTATTCTGTGACATCTGCCTATACAGATATAAACAAATTAAGTCGTCGATTCATGCACTAGTAGGTAGGGTTGGGCGATATTAAAATAATCATCTCACGATTATTGTCAAGGAAATTATCACGATATTCGATAATATCGCGATAAATGCAACAAAAACAATGCTTATATATATAATCTTATTAAAAGAACAAGTAAAACAACAAATTAAGTAATATTAAGGCTTTTTCTAGTCTAATATTTAATTACTATTCATAAACCAGAACTGTCCATGCAGTGTCTACTGTGTCTCCGCTGGCACAAACGCCGTGGGCACACAGCGCAAGCAAAGCCTGCAATTTCATTGTTCAGCAGATTAATACATAAACATCAGTTAGCTTTTATATCGTGTTAAATTCGCATTTAATTCAGGAAATAGTTTTAATTCTTTTAAAAACTATATTTTCTAGGAATTGAATCAATTTTTTAGGATTTTATAACAGCTATATGCACATGCGAAGCAATATCACGATAGTCATCGAGTATGACGATAATTTCGATATATCGTCGCTCAAGTTTCTACCTTCGATACGATAATTTGAAAATATCGCGATAAATCAAAATATCGAAAATCGCCCAACCCTACTAGTAGGTTAGTATCGCTAAAATGAAGTTTTACTGCCGCTACCCAGTACAGATTAAAGTGATATGACAGGTATTAATATATAATCAACTCGAATATATTTGGAACTAGAAAGACATAACAACTGGTGTTTATTATACTAGTACTAATGATACACTCATACATCATTGCATGTGTACTTTTATCGGTTCTTAATCACAAGGTTTCTGTGTTCGTTGTCGGTAAAAAGATCATCAAACGGGGGCAGATGTAATGTTAATCATTACTAGTATTCATGAATATTTGTTGTAGTTAAGTGTCTTTTGATTTATCGCTATTGTTGTTTTAAAATGTAAATGATTATTATACTGTAAGTGCATGCATTTGATCTTTGTTTCGCGCCATTGATTTTCACTTTACGGAATATACAGGGTGTCCCAAAAAGCCCGAAAACCATTGAAATCACTTATTGTTAAAATTGAATGCCCTACCAAAAAGCTGAACGTAATGATGCGTAAAATATTGACAAGGTGCATGTATTAAAATTTAGTTAAGAACATCTCTAGGCCTTGTAAAGTGCGCGATTTTTTGCTCTTAGGAATTTAAAGCTTCTTCTTAAATAGTTTCTTTATGCATAAAATTTACTTATGTCAATCATTTATGCACTCGTGGGAACCAACAGAGTGCTGAGGCATTCAAATTCTAACAATTAAATTGTTATTGGTGATTTCAAGAGTTTTAGTTTTTTGGGGGGACACCCTGTATAATAGGGTGTTGTTATTGAACCTACTGTACTTACTAGCACAATGGACAACTTGCATGTTAGACTAAATTTTAATCTAAGTAAAGAGAAGGGAATCAAACACCACAGTTAAAAAGAACATAATGAAATTAGTAAAATTGCAAAATTTGGTTGTGAAATGTTACAAAATACAGAAAATATAGCCTTGCGATGTTTGCATATTTTCAGTATATAATGTATATTTGTGTTACGTGCGGAAATTATTGTTACCATTTTCGGCTCAAAAATATGGTAACAATTTCCGCACGTAATACAAACATATACTGAAAATATGCAAACTTCGCAAGGCTATATTTTCCGTATTTTACAACATTTCGTTACCAAATTTTGCAATTTTACTAATTTTAATAAGTTTTTTACGGGAATTTACCTTTTTTCCTAGATCAAAAATTAGTCTAACGTGCAAGTTGTCTATTGATGTTCGAATAGCGCTATTGTCTTTCTTTCCGTGTT